TGCATGTGTTTGTATTTATATATACATAATAAATAACACACAACACACAATGAACAACAACTTTTATTTTGGATGCGATTAATCGCGATTATATATATATATATAAGCTAAAAGTCCATTATTAATTTATTACAATTATTCATTTATTAAATGCTTTTGTCTAAAGTCATTCTTATGAACAAAACTCCAACACAAGTAACACAAAATCTTTCCTTTGTCCATCCAGGTCTCTGTGTTTCTGTCGTATATGGGAACTCCAAGCTCAAGTTCTGCTCTCAAACTTTCTCCAAGTGGATCTTCCAGCTCCAAAAGCGAAGTGTGGAACAGCCTGATTCTAGCATAAGAAACCAAGATCTTCCCGTGAAGGCGTCTCTCCCTGCAGAGCTCCGAGCAGAAGAACTGATCTATCGGGTGCCAGAACCAGCGAGTTTCAGTGATGAAATGAAGACACAGAAATATCTCCAATGTGTAGACAATCATGGAAAGATACTAAACGTACAGCGAGACCTTCACATCAACAGATCAGTAGAAAACCCTGGACCTGATTATAAACGTGCTGTGAATCGCAGGAACCAAGACCCTTCAGTCCCAGAAGATCACGAGAACATTATATAACCTGAACGCTCCAGATCACGGCTTGATGGACTCATAGCATGTGCTTTACTCATCTTTAAGACATTGGTTTCATTCATTTTAAACCATTTGAGTGGCATTCAGTTGCTATAAGTATACGTGTTAGAGCAATAGTTCACCCAAAAATGAAAATTTGCTCCATCCGAGATGTGAATGAGTTTGTTTCTTCATCAGATCTGGAGAAATGTAGCATTGCATCAGTGTCTCAGCAATGGATGCTCTGCAGTGAATGGGTGCCGTCAGAATGAGAGTCCAAACAGCTGATAAAAACATCACAATAATCCACACCACTCCAGTCCATCAGTTAACATCTGGAGAAGACAAAAGCTGAAAGTAATCCAGCATTAAGACGTTTTTAACTAATGAATCCATAATCCATAATAACTCTTCCTCCAGCTTTTGTCTTCTCCAGATGTTAACTGCTGGACTGGAGTGCTGTGGATTATTGTGATGTTTTTATCAGCTGTTTGGACTCTCATTCTGACGGCACCCATTCACTGCAGAGCATCCATTGCTGAGACACTGATGCAATGCTACATTTCTCCAAATCTGATGAAGACACAAACTCATCCTAATCTCGGATGACCTGAGGGTGAGCACATTAACAACACATTTAAATTTTTGGGTGAACTATTGCTTTAAAAAAAAAGAGCCATAGTGGCACAACACTTTTCTCAAGAAAATGTAGTAATTGTTGCATTTTGTTGCAACGTTTTTCTCTCCCATAGCACTCCTGCTCTATTTTAATGGATAATTCTCTTTTTTCCTTCACACTATATATCTGCAGGGAAACATTTATTTTATTTTTTATTGTCATGATGAGCATTATTAATCATGTCTACGAGCAGATAAGAACTTGCAAGATGTTATTCCTGCTCACATCTGACCTGTCCTTTGTTTGCAAACAAAATTCAGATTTGTTACAATTTAGGTTTTTATTTTTGATGGCATCTAATGTCAAGACCATTGAGTCGACCTGAAATCTTTGCGTTAGCAGCCAGACCCACCAGCATTAGTTCACCAACTTCCTGTCTAGAAAGCCACTTCCTTGAAACTTTAAAAAAAATAACCCTCACCACAAATTTTACTTCCTTTTCAAATCTAAGAAAATCCCCTTTACTGCAGCTGAGCTCCTTTAAATGTATCAAATTTTTAAATACATTCTTATATTTATGTCTATATAGAAATCAGGGTTACAGTTTGCCTTGTAAAGTCAATCTGAACTTGTGCATCTGATCTCTCATTATAGATTAAACATTGTTTACGTTTCTCATTAGACTGTAAAGAAAATAGAAAGTCTACATGTAATTCTTTTCTTGTAGCAGCATTCTATAATATTAATTACGAAACAACTCACTCCATGTTTAACTGTTGTTGTGCCACACAACATCTATGTGAAAATTAGATTAAACTGTTTGTAATTTCAGATTCAACTTTATTCTTTCACAGAGAACAAGGTTTTCCATGTCTTTAAATGCCCAGTAAATCGGTTTAGTAATAAACTCAAATAACAATTTAACAATTAAAAACAACTGCCCTAATAATTTTTATTTGTCAAAGACTAAAGGCCCGTTCACACTAGGAGCTATAACTATAACGATAACTATTAGCGAACAATGACCTTCTGTTTATTTTAAACACGCCCTGCAGTTTTGTTGTCTGCCTCTTTAAATATTGGAACACTTTCAGGATGGATTCTGATTGGCTGTCAATATTTTATCATTAATCGTTTGTGGGAAAATCGCCATGAAAGTGATTCCAACGATATCGTTCCTCTATGTTGTTATCGTTATAGCTGTAGTGTACTATTTTTTTTTAATTTAGTACGATTATATCGTTATCGTTATAATTATCATGAACGATAATCGTTAGCTATTGGTGTGAACGGGCCTTAATAAACATAGGAGAAAAGCGGTTTCAGAAATATATCTGTTAGAGCACATGTAAAGTAATTATTATTGTATATAGGCTAACAATGTGTTCTTGAATCCCATTACATTTTATTGTAGGCTATTGAAATGTAATAAGACCACATGCAATTTGCAATATGTGACCCTGGACCACAAAACCAGGCATAAGGGTCATTTTTTTTAAATAGCTGAATAAATAAGCTCTCCGTTTATGTATGTAGGATCGGACAATATTTGGCTGAGATACAACTATTTGAAAATCTGGAATCTGAGTGTGTAAAAAAAAAAAAAATCAAAATATTGAGAAAATCATCTTTAAAGTTGTCCAAATGAAGTTCTTAGCAATGCATGTTACTAATCAAAAATTAAGTTTTGATATATTTACGGTAGGAAATTTACAAAATATCTTCATGGAACACGATCTTTACTTAATATCCTAATGATTTTTGGCATAAAAGAAAAATCAATAATTTTGAGCCATACAATGTATTGTTGGCTATTGCTACAAATATACCCCAGCGACTTAACACTGCTTTTGTGCTCCAGGGTCACAGATGTAATGCACAAAAATAATGTTCAATTACAGTGGTTTTATATGATATAAAACCATATTAGTCTTATAAGTAATACAGTTAATTGTTTTAATGCTTCAGCTCTAATTCGCAGCTGAGGTGACTCTATTTACACCATCCCGGTGTTCGTAACACCCCTCAACGTCATCACCAGCCTGACCAATCAGCGCCTCGCATGAGCTCTGCGTCCATCCTACTGGCTACTGGGCGGGCCATCACACCAGTCGCTCTCGCTTCTCATTGGTCGATACGCTCTAAACCCATGACGCCTCAGCCAATCAGAGGAGTCAGTCGATCGTGTGAGTGAGGGATTGTCGCTGCGCAGGTTAGCTGATTCTGTCCTGGATCTCTATAGAGTTTGAATGGAAATAGCAGCGCGTGAATTTCAGCTCACCTGTTAAGAAAAGCGTCCTCATAAACACACGGGCGAAAATGGACATCCTCAAGTCTCTAGGACACCCGGAAGAAATAATCAACCTCTTTAAATACAAAATAGGAGGCTGTCGTTCTGTTATGCCTAAATTGGATTATGTAAGTAAATGCATTTTGAGCGTTCATCTCTAATATTCATCCCCTGTGCATGCATGTGCATGCACAATACATGTTTTGCATTTATCTGTCATTATGCATGTCAGATTTTATTAATAAACACTAAAACACTTATTTTAAGAAGATTAAGAAGAGATTAAATACAATTGCATCAGCTGCAGTTCTAAAGATGTCTTTATGCTTTTCCAGCAAGCAGTGCATAAACGGTGTCAGCATCAAATGGATTTGATTTAATCCTGGTTTGGAGAGGAAGGTTAGTTTTAACAGACAGGAGACCCGAGGATTCGTCTTATATAATGAGCTTTGACGACTGGAGGGTCAGACAGGTCAGGTGATGATGCTCTGCGCATGTTTGACAGCTAATCCACATCCACACCGATAAACACACGGACACACAGAACGATAGAACGATAGATAGATAGATAGATAGATAGATAGATAGATATCCATCTGAAAGGGAAAGTCCTCAGAACTTTGACTAACGTTCAGACAAGGTTCTCTCAAAGTTATTCCGGTAACATTAATAGAACGTTCACTCAGTTATCTGGTCTTTATTAAAGGTGGGGTAAGTGATTTCTGGTAGCCAATGTTGACATTTGAAATCACCAAAACAAACACGCCCCTACCCCAAAAGGGTCTCGCCCCTATTTTGATTGCTCCGCCCCACACATACGTACGCAACCCAGGCAACGATTAGTTCTGTGAAACAAAGCAAAACCAATGTTACACCGTGTCTACACCGGACGCGAGCGGTGCGGCGCGACAAAATACTATAGAACTCATAATCAGTGATGCTGTCTACACAATAGATATATATACATATCTATGGTCTACACTAGATGCGGTGCGGCACGACACGACACGACAAATCCCCGACAGAAAACTGCTGCTGCGTTCTATTTATGACGTATTGACACAAATTTCAAATGATTTTCAGCGGTCGCTTTGTCGCGTCCAGTGTACTAGACAGACTTTAGCTGTTGCGGCGCAGACACGGTGTTACTCACCTATCGAGAAGAAACAAAGCAACCTCGGCGTCCGATCGCAGGCCT